TTTTTTTGCTGCGACCAAAATTAACAGAATTATGGCCCTTTGTTGATTTTTTCACTATATACTATGTAGAAATTTTGTGAACGCAACTCCTCTTAAACCGGATGGCAGATTTTGCTTAAACCTCCAGGGATGAACAACCTTAATGTGTAGATTGAAGTAAAGGAAGGAATTTTTGCTGCGACCAAATTTAACAGAATTATGGCCCTTTGTTGATTTTTTCACTACAAACCATATATGTTGTCAGTGGGGGCATCCGTGTCCTTTGGACACCGTTCTAGTTTTCCCTCTTATTTTCGGCAAACAGATTTAGACGTTGTCTTTCTTTTCGTATGCGCGCGTAATTTATGTAAGCAGATATGACGTTTAAATGTATAAATGATTAAATACCCATTGTTGAAGACACTTTTTGAGGAATAAACAGAAAAATTCAAGTTTAGACATTTTTATTCGTTGAAAAAACTGATGCTTTCAGATGTTTATAAGGATTGTGTATTACATATCTATCACTCCGACAAAAATAACCTAGCGTTAACCTAGCGTTATGAGTTTGCGTCATTTACGTCACGTCTAGTACAGTTTTATACGCCTAACTTTTCAAAAACCTACATAGCCTGTAACGCCGCTACAACCACGTTACGAGACTTGTTTCATACTTTGCTATATAAAATCTAAGATTATTTTAAAAAATAGAAATGAAATTTAACGTATCTTTATGCTTGTGTTTGCGGATTGTATTTCATTTTGTAGTAGACCATTTAAATGTTATCACGTCATATATCTTACAGTCTACCTGAATGTAAATAGACAATTTACTAAACAAGTTTTAAATATCACGTAAATAATTTCTTCTTTGTGTCAAATGTCTCGCCTCTTTTGAGATTTATAACTTCACGACGATAAATCTAGCAATAAAATGCATGTTTTAAATACCTTAAATGTAATATTGCAGTCCTAGGCCATTCAGTATGATAATATTTAAGAGTTGCGCAGTAATGCATTTTTAAATTTTGGCGCTAAATATGATATTGAATTTTATATCATTGATATACATGGTTCTAGATAGCTCACCATTGAAATTTAACTTTAGGCTTTATACTATGAGGGTCTCAGATTCATATTTTGACTTTGAAATTCCCTGAATAGAAATCCAAAGCAGTGTAGCTCAGTTAAACAATTTGCATGCACGTGCCTTTCCTCAAATTATATTATAATGAAAATTAAGATGTCTCAAAACTGTTAGATTATATAAAGAACATTTTTGTGATTATATAACGCCAGTTTATGTGACGTAATGAAAATTATGTTTAATCTTCAAGAAATGTCTGCCAAAGCCGACAGGTTGTTGTACTGTATATAACCGATGTTAGTCACGTGACATATACTAAATATTAATCTGATAATCAGCACATGACACTTATGTTCGTACCTGATTTGTTATTTTGGTATATGTTTTAACTATAACTTTTACTCATTGATTGCAAATGTACCGGAACGCCTGGAAAAGACAACAAATAAACCAAGAAATACGCCACAAGATGGTGCTTAGTTAATTAGTGGTATGAGAATACAATTTTCCCTGGCATCTGAAATGATGTTAAATCACTCGATATTTTACATACTTACCAATTAGTCTAAAACATTCACTCAATGAATTTACAAGATAGTTTATGTAATGTTATACAGTGCACAAAGGTCATATATCTTTCAATGAATCTTCCCATGATTCCCTGGTGATATGGAAGAGATATTGGCAATGATTATTTGGAAACGATGTTACATGATTCATGTTTTTTATGTTAAGAATGATGATTTCAAGTGAAAAAACAGCAATTTTTACTTTAAAGTTTTTTTTCTTCAAGGTTAAATGGTTTGTAGATATGGTTTGCATATCTCCGGACATATTTCGTGTATTTACGTATGTCGATTTCTGCAATGACACCTGAACTTTCAGTGATATGTGCACTTAAACAACAATAACAAAAAACAACCTACAATTAGAAAAGTCAAAACAGTTACAGTAACTTTTTATTGTAGTGACAAATTACACTTTTTAAAATGATTTTTTTCAACATGTGTAGTTCATAGTCAATGAACACACGGAGTTTGCGATCTGATGAAAACAATACCATGATAATGAAAAAATAACAAAATGTGTTTCGAGTTATTTCAAATGTTTTGCGGGTTGTTCACTTTCTTCTGCTTAATATTTGTGGAAAATTAGCAGGATAACTTTCTAAATCATTACAATTTCACTAAAAGATATGAGAATACAACAGGTAATTATTATTTGGTTGGGAAGAGAACAATTTAGTGACGGTCTAAAATACTTGATCACCTGAAATCATGATTTTTTTTACCAATTAAAAGCAGAAAAAATCATCGCCTAACTACTTACTGTCTAATTGAAACTAATATAAATCTTAAATCGTTTTCTGCCGTAGATTAACCTATTTGATTATCTTTAATTGTAAATCTTGAAAGTTATTAGAGTATGTTAGTCTTCGTTGTGGGCGATCTTCATTCTGAAGTGGAAGATAATTATCTAAAATGATATGCAATCAAGTGCTTCCTAATTTTCAGCATCATTGAAAGATTGCCTCTCGTATCAGTAATATAATACAGAACATAATTAGAATTTATCAATGCCAGGAAATATAAAACCGAACGTTTTTTTGTGGTATTAATCTGTACATTTTTCATCTTAATTGTGTATGTCTTAACATGCTGGTATCTATCAGTAATGATGTAGGAGCCTCATTTTACTCTCATGATGGTGTAAACATATCTATCTATACCACGTGTAGTTCTGCTGCCGCTTTTTAACATTTTTTTCTTTCATCAGTACTCGTCCTGTCAAAGTACAAAAACAGGTTCACTGAAGACCTAAATCTTTACCACAAGATGATATACCAAATGATGATGAGCATATATTCCTCTATCATTAACACGCGATAATGTACCGCATGATAGTGGTTTACATATATTCTCCTATCATTACCACATAGTGATGTACAAAATGGTGGTGTACATTTATTCTATCATTACCGCATGGTGATGTACAAAATCATGGTGTACATTTATTCTATCATGACCGCATGGTGATGTACAAAATGATGGTGTACATTTATTCTATCATAACCGCATGGTGATGTACAAAATGATGGTGTACATTTATTCTATCATTTACGCCTTGTGATGTACAAAATGATGGTGTACATTTATTCTATCATTACCGCATGGTGATGTACAAAATGATAGTGTACATTTATTCTATCATTACTGCATGGTGATGTACAAAATGATGGTGTATATTTATTCTATCATTACCGCATGGTGATGTACAAATGATGGTGGTGTACATTTGATAACACATGATGCTATACCACATTAGTGTATATTCATAATAACATTATGGTATGTACATAGATTCTTTAATCATTACCGGATATAAATCACCCTGATTACTCCAAACTATTCAATTATGTTATACTTACCGTTAAATATGCGATATTCATATTCATATAAATTGTGATATTTTATCTGTAAGGGGAGAATATTCGGGAGATAACTGGCGGATGAATATGAATTTACTGATTCCGGTTTGATTCAGCATAATTGTACAAAAACTGTTTAAAAACGAAAAATGTTCATTATGGTTCGTTGTTGTAAATCAATACAAAATAACGAAATATTTTATTATTTTTACGATATTACATAAAAACCCGATTCGGTAGTTTAGAAAAAAAGAAACAACTGGAAAGTAATGCAAACATTTTATTATGTTCAATGCATGTCACATGCATAGTGTTACGACAATTAACTAAACTTGTTTGAGTTAATTTACATCGATGCTAAAATAATCATTATAAGCAGCTGCTATTATAACTGTCAGAAACGGTGTCATACGCATCTTAATTGAAATTATTCATTACACAATAAAACTTCATGAACATATATTTAAATATATGATCTGAAATCTTGTCATTTCACTTACCGTATACCTTCACTTACCGTATACCTTCACTTACCGTATACCAGCTGTAAACAAACTGTCACATTGAAACTTAATCCTAGCTTTAAAAATTCCTGTCAATGCAAAGTAGTTATCTACATTTCAAATTATGACATGTGAAATTATCTTTTCAAATGATCTGATTCCCGCTGTAAACCTTTTATATCATCTGAATAACATGGATACCTTTCATACTGGGATATATACCTTATCCATTTAAGGCACAATCAAATCTAAATAACATTTAACATATAACACTTACATGTAAAATAAATATTTTTTACAACATTTATTCACACGTGAAAGTCATAAATATTTCTATCCTGTACAAATTAAGTTGAATTTAAAAGAAATTCTTTTAGATCACACGTATGTTATCCAGTGTGAGTCTGAATTTGTTAATTCAAAGTTTTTCACAAACCTAGATCAGTCTTTACTTGGTGATTTATATGTGACATATGCTGTGCCTCTTTGTTTCGTTTCTCTCTATATTTTTTGTACATGTAAGATATGCTTATTTTGCGTTTTGATTATGTATTGTAAACATTATTTTTGTAGACGAGGAGCTATGCTCATATCTGCAAAAAGAAATAAATATTCTGTTCTGTTCTTGTGAGATAACCGTAAAATATTCACATATGAGCCGTGTCACGACAAAACCAACATAATGGGGTTGCGACCAGCATGGATCCAGACCAGTCTGCGCATCCGCGGAGTCTGATCAGGATCCATGCTGTTCGCTATCAGTTTCTTTACTTGCTATAGGGTCTGTAAGCGAACAGCATGGATCCGGATCAGACTGCGCGGATGCGCAGGCTGGTCTGGATCCATGCTGGTCGCAAACCCATTAAGTTGGTTTTGTCGTGACGCGGCTCATATCATTGTGTAGTGAAATTCAACAAAATAACGTCGACGTCTATATGGCATGAACATTCTCGACTTACTCCTACTTTTATTTCATTGCTAATATTGTGATGTTAATTTTCAGTTAGTGACAGAGATAAGTGGGAGTTATTGGTCAGAGTGGAGTGACTGGAGTGAATGTTCTCGGACATGTGATGGTGGTGCCAAGTATCAAACTCGCAAATGTATCCGACGACGATCACACGATTATAGATGTCATGGCCCCAGAATTCTTTATTCCACCTGTAATAATCAGGTAAACTAATCCCGACCTAATATTTGATAAAATATACAAATTGTATTTATTTAAATTTTGTTTTCATTAGGTAACAGTTAAAATGATAGAATTAAAATTTAAAATGTTCATGTTCAAAACTTCACTGAAGCAATTATTTCATATCTGTATGGCTGTGTTCATATTTCTCAGTAATGGTCATTCAAACTGATTGTGAATGAAACTTAAACGTCATTGAACCACTCTCGTTTCCCTGAACTAACCAGTGTCATTTGAGGAAATTGAGTATTGGCCAAAGTAGGGATCGTACCTACGATACGTGGTTTGTAAAGTAGACATCATAACTACAAGACCAACTCGCCTTTGCTAAACAATTGTTTTTATCCACCAAAATGTGTTTTGGTAATACCTTTGTTGCCACCTACGTTTATGGTATACAAATGAACTCCAATCAAAACAAGCTCATTTAAATGATTACCTTTCTTTTTTTTATAGCCCTGTAAGTCCGGTGTACCTGACTTCCGGTCAGAACAATGTGCTGCGTATAACGATGGTTCGTATTCCGGTCACGTGTTTAAATGGTTGACACACCATGATCCGCTTCACCCATGTGCGTTGTCGTGTATTGCCGAGGGTACCAATATGGTCGCCATATTAGCGCCTAAAGTCCTAGACGGCACAATGTGCCATAACAATTCTTTAGACATGTGTATTAATGGACAATGTGTGGTAAGTAGCACTTCGTCTAAAATAATTCAATCCAATTTTATTTTGATTTCAAATTAAAAAAGTTCTAGTCATATTCATTTAATATAAACAATTCTTTAAAAATAGCAACAACAACAACAACAACAAAAGTACAATGTACAAGTTCCTAAGATATCTGCCTGATATAATTGAAATGAATTATGTAACATACAAGTCTATACTTACGCCTCAAATTTTTTTTTTCAGAAAGTTGGTTGTGATCACAAACTATATTCTCAAGCAGTTGAGGACAGATGTGGGGTATGTGGTGGTGAAAACAGAACGTGCGTCGGTAAAGAACACGTGACTAAAGAACGCTATCGATGGATTCAGACAGGATTTGGCTCGTGTTCGGTCACGTGCGGTGTAGGTAGTATCACATTTGCATGTACCAAATTTTTTGATACATTCGAAAACTCTTCATCTTAGAAATACGAAACAATTTGACAGACAATAGAAAACTCATTACTGTATATCATTTCATGCCGACAAACATTATACATATGCCTATTCAAACTTTTTTTTATATAATTTGTCCTTTGTTACAAGGTCGTACATCTCTGGTTAACTTGTACAAATGGAAACATTTCTCCAGTTAAATTAATTCTTTTTCTTAAATGTTATCGCTTATTGTATTAATAGCGATACATTAAATAGCCAAGGATACGATGATAAATTACTTCCTACGATTGAACTTTAACGAACATTTTACTTTAAGATGAAACATTATTGAAATATAATGAATTATAACTTTCTTCACTTTGTAAGACAGGTGTCAAAGACAAACGGCTTTTGTGTTTTGATTCGTACAAAGGTCGAGTAATGGACTCCATTCATTGTAATGATATAAAGCGGCCTACAGACACGAGAGCCACGTGCAGACCTGGCACGTGTCCACCCGCGTAAGATTTCTCTTTCTGTCTAAGTAACGAACATATTAATATTCTAAAATTGAGTTTTCTCTTTAGCTCTTCAATAGAAAGATAGGTTTAATGTGTAATCATGTTATTGTATAATTGTTGTTATTGTTGTTTTTAAAATTATTTCAGCTATACGTTAATAAATTAATCAATTGAGAGGTTGAATTGTTAACGCGTAGGACTAGTAATCTAAAGATTGATAGCCACGTGGGTTTAAAACCCAGTCAATTACAAGCCGTTGTTTCCGTGAGCAAGAAACTTATTGTTTAGTACTGGTTGGTACCAGAAACGGATTCGAGAGTGTTTCATTAAGCTTAAAGGTTCTAAAATAAATTAGTATTAACTAAATTAGTAAAACAACTTTTAACTTACATAACTATACGCCGTAAAATACGAGTTTAATTCTTCATTTTTTAATATATAACAATATTTAATGCTATAGATTTTATAAATATTTATCATACAGGTGGCGTGTTGGTCCCTGGCAGAACTGCACACGTGATTGTGGTGGAGGAGTGTCATGGCGGGTGGTCACGTGTATACAGACATTTGAGGACAGTACACAGAAGCTTATGAAGGACAGTGATTGTGAAAGTTCTACAAGGCCCTCCTCGAGAAAATCGTGCAATGGTTATATATGTCCCACCTGGTATGCCGGGGAATGGACAGTTGTAAGTGGACTTCAAGTATTTCAAACTAATACAAAATTATGTAAAAAGAATAAAAGAAAATATTTCTAAAGGATATTTATAGAGATTTGATGTGAATTATTTGTACAACATGATTTGAAATAAACAAAGCGATAGTTGTATAGTTTAGCAAATAGTTGTCACTTGATTTTACACTATGGCTTACAATTTACCATTTTACACGGTCTTACTAAATGTTAAGATACATTTACATTTTGTTTTGATTTAAAACCCGATATATACTGATACAAGAACTCCCCACCAGCAAAGATTATTTTTTTCCATATCATTTTTGAAATGTCTTAAGTGTCTGCCCATTTCATAAATCTATGATTAAATTATAACAACTTACTTCTTTAGTCATCTTATTGCATTGTTAAAATCACAAATTTAGGAACAAGCTGTATCTATTGAATTCACGACCTACATTAAAGTTATAATTAATATTAATCAATGTGGTTTCTACTTAAAATCTTTAATTATCATTTTCATCCAACATGGTATACTTATGTCACTCCCAAGGTTCCGGGTTCGATACTGGGTAACACCCTTGGGATTTTTCTGAAACACATTTAGTGTTTCCCACCTACCAAGAGGCTAACTGGAAAGAAAACCAAGGTAACCTCTTATATATCAGTGCTATGCACTTGGCGTGTAAAAGAACTAAGGGGTCTATTAAATAAAAGCTATGGACTGGTTCCCGGACTCCCTTGTATCTCATAGTCTGCCAAGGTAAGGACCCTACTGGAAATAAGTGCTTGAACTTTTGAAGGTTATCCTTGACCGCCCGGTCTAAAGAAAATCAAATCATATGTTAACGTTTTACTGAATTTAATTTCACATTCGTATACCTGATGTTTTGTAGTGTAGCGTAAGTTGTGGGACAGGTATACAGACACGTGAAGTAATATGTCGTCACGTGGGAGATAATTATTGTAATGTCAAGGACAAACCACGTACAGAGAAGATATGTAGCACGGGCATAACGTGTTACGATCTCAATGGTATAACTTTATCTTTTAAATAATGATAAAAAAAACTTTAACAGTTGAGCTGATAATTTTTGAAAAATGTTGTTATTAACCACCATTAAAATCACAATTAAGTAAATAATGAGAAAAAAAGAATGTCAATGTTCTCATTTCCATTCCAGTAAAATAGTTTTGAGTTTGTAATCAAAATTATTATGATTATCATAGGTTACCATTGTAGACATGGTAGAGTTGAGAGTATATAAGTGAATTAATTTGTCTATTTAAATGAAATTTAACATTAATTTCTTAATAATGCGAGCAGTGTTTTCATCTAATCAAAATTCTTTTTTTAATTTCAAATAGTGAATTCTGTTACTTAATGTATCAGTTACTGCAGGCATGAACACTCGCTATATCTGATATATAAATGACTTATTTACATATTGATTAGGTGACATCCAGGAAAGAAAAGTTGGTCAGTTAAAGATTTCAGATGACATGCCACAGGGAGATCAAGCTATAACAAAAGAGGACTTATATGAACCTCGGTATAAAATGATAATCATCTTTTCATTTAATCCTTAAACCTACCGAATTTGAATTATGTTTGATGGTTTGGTTTGGTTTTACGGTGCACCAATACAATTTAGCGCCGAAACAGGAAAGATAATTTTAGTTAACCTCGGGTCTCACAAACTTAAAGTTACACCATTGGTCAAAACCGCCCACTTGCTGGAGCTAAGAGATGCATAAACTCCAGTAATACGAACCCATTGTGTCGCCTTATACGATCACGCAGGGATAAACGGCGGCAGCAATTCTGATGCCTCTACCCTTTAAGCACACCTCAGAAAAGGGGAATTTAAGTTATATATTTGTCATTTTTGCCATATAAATGAATTTCAAAAGAAAAAATACAAAAATGAGTTCCCTGGTTGCGACTGGTTTGTATATACCATACTGGTTACAAAGGATAATCAATTTCAGCTCCTGCAGGTTTAACAGTCATACTTATTCATTAAAATTGTATAGTGAATTATTACCTTTAGATCAGTTCTTCAGTTTTTAAGATAAACCGTCTGAATTGAAGCTTTAATATTTTATCGTAACCTTTGCTCTATATATCTATGACTTTGATTGGCAGTTATTATCTTCTAACCGTAAAAACTTATTTTCTGTTCACTTCTCCACATTTACAAGGTTACAACAAGTGAAGACAAAATCTCCTAACTAAAGTCTAAATCTCCTAAAATACACAATATATCATTATAATCAAGCAGTCTATCCGGTCTTTCTTATTTTTGAAAAAAATATGCATGGCAGAAGTAAGAGAAAATTGATATATAACGTTTGTAGATAGTAGATTTAACTGTTTAATCGCATCCTGGTGTGATAATGTCAATCTGTGTTCCACAAACCTATCATATACCAACAAACGCCAAACGAATTTATTTTCTTTCCAACGCTCGCACACAGGTGTTTTATTAACGGAAAGGTATTTCCAATGTCAAAGTAATGAACGAAATCTTCATAATCAAACAAGAGTTGAAATGTTGTATTTTTTCCTTGTCAGATTTGTAACGACCACGTGGGATTCGTGCAGCGCCTCGTGCGGAGAGGGTATCCGGTTCCGGTTTGTACGTTGTCAGGTATTCCTATGGTATCTCAACGATTTCTCAGACCTTCCAGATGAAGATTGCAATGGTTAGTTCAAATATTTTAGATAATTACAAATAATATTTGAACATATATTTTATAGATAAGAAACCTGTTTTCATCCCAATCACTGTTCATATTTTAGTTTGAAAAAAAAGACTTGATTTAAATGTATTGTGAACTGAAATACAACTGAGATTAAAAGTACAAATGTACGTTATGATATTAGCAAAAACCTGAAAAAGACAAAGATATGTTTTCACTTAAAGTACCTGAAGTTTGTTCACTTTTTTTTTTGTTTGGTGTTATTGTAATTTTATTTATCCCTGTTACATTTTTTTCAGAGACGAAGCCGGCTGAGCACGAAACATGTATGGTAGAACCGTGTTATGACCTATATGAATGGGTACCAGATGGCATGACAGAGTGTAGTCATACTTGCTTAGGCGGTACTGTCATAATTTCTGAATTATTTTTTCCCTTTTTTATACAGTAAAGGTAGATAATCGCTATAGCTAACTACTGCTTTGTTTGTTGCAAAGGAAGTTGTACTGGTCGCAATAACATGGGTTTACTATTTTGGAAACCCGTATTTTAGTAGAAGTTAAATATATCATAGAACACAAATACAAATTTTATTGAGGAAACGACAGGACATTTATAAGTAATACGATGTTACTATTTCAGGAATACAAGAGTCTATACTGAAATGTAAAACTAAGGAAAACCAGACGATTGTAGATGACAAATTTTGTGTTGAGGCGCCGCATGTTCAAGCTGAAAGGCGAATATGTAATGTCAAACCGTGTCCTCAAAGGTAACTTTGCTGTTATGAATCATGCTTGCGGCATTAAAGAACAATATTAAAATAACTCTGCAATATTCGACATTTTTGCGTCTCAAATACAAATATGTATATTTATTATATACTTATAAATGAAATGCTGAGAAACATTGATGAAATAAAATGCGTATTTTTATTTTCCCTGAAAAAAAAGTGGAATGAAATTATTATATTTCATACCACTCGATGAAAATAAATCCTGTATACATAGAGGAAACTTAAACATCCTCAATATATACAATAGAATATATTATCTATTCTAATATAGAATAGAATCATTTACCTTGATGCAATACGTATATATAAACGCACATTTTAAAGATTGGGTCATTATAAAAAGTATTTGTTTGAAGTTACGTTACCCACTTCTTTGTCCATTCGTAGGGTTTTTTTCAATAATAAATAATATAGCCTATGTGCTGGCAAAAAAAAAGAGTTGGAAGAGTTTGAATAGTCAGGTAGCGCAACTACAAAAGAAGTTGTTCAATTATATGATGGCCTTCCTAGTGATGCCACAAATCACCTTCATTAATTACAAAAAGTTTTGGTATGATATGAAAGAATATGAAAACAAAAATCCTGCAAATTGAATAAGATTCGTATCATCATGTGTTTATCATATTTTTCACATATTTAACAGATGGGAAATAGGTGATTTTGGTGAATGTTCTGCCACATGTGGTGGTGGTATCAAGTCTAGAGATGTGAAATGTATACAGGAAATTGCACAGGGACCAAGTGTTTTAAACCTACCAGGTACGTACAAAAATATTATCCAATTAACAAACACTATAATCCTGAAATGATTATCAATTTTAAAAGACAATGAAAATCAAAGTCCAGTAAGATTAGCATATGATGGTGCAAACTTGATTCAAACAATTTTGAAATCAAAATGAAACGTGGAAAAGTTAGTACCATCTATGATTGGATTTTCTTAATGCATTTTATACATACCTTACAAAGTTCATTAAAAACATGTTCAAACATTTATGATGTCTGGAATTAGAATAATTTAGAAACACACACGTTTTGTGTATTTCAAGATTTCATGTGTAGCCGGCCTATACCAGATAACAGCACATCATGTAACACGTTAGATTGTCCAGGACAATGGTATGTCGGCAACTGGTCTAAGGTATGTCAACCGATATTACTTATTCTAATCTGAATATTACATATCTATATATGAGCCGCGTCGTGACAAAACCAACATAGTGCGTTTGCGACCAGCATGGATCCAGACCAGCCTGCGCATCCGCGCAGTCTGATCAGGATCCATGCTGTTCGCTATCAGTTTCTCTACTTGTAATAGAGTTGGTAAGCGAACAGCATGGATCCTGATCAGACTGCGATGATGCGCAGGCTGGTCTGGATCCATGCTGGTCGCAAACCCATTATGTTGGTTTTGTCATGACGCGGCTCATATGTAACAATAAAACTCTAGCTCAGAAGAATTTTTGCACGGACCTCTTCTTATTCATGAAACTATGTCCCTTCAGCATATAGGTTGTTTGGTTAAAGATTTACTGTGTTCATCTTGAGGTAAAATACTTTAATTGCAGTTTATTGAAATGTGGAAAATTTTCAATGAACATGTCTAATTTGAATAAGAGAATCCAAAAACTATGTTTGGGAAACTGCAGTCCCAATTACTGGTTAAGTTAATGTGGTCCTTTCTTGAAAACCTGTTAGTGTTTTTTTTAGTGTTTGTTTAGTTTAAAACGTTACATATCTTCCCTTTGTGTACTCATAAGATGTGTATTTTTGAATTTAAAAATAGACTGTATAGCATGTATCAGTCTTTTCAAATATCAAATTTCAACATAATATATCTTTAACATTATTTGGTTGAGAATCATAGATAACTGTCAAATCTTACAAACTTGCTTGGTTCTTGATATCATTTTAACGTACTAAATAAACTGTTTGTCAGTATTCCTCAAACTTAGCTGCATTGACGTTACACCTTCAAAATTAGATAAAGAAACCTGTTTTGTACATGCACTGTTTTGTATTCTTGTTGTTTTGATAAGAATTTTTTCATATTTCTGTATTGTTTTGTTAGTGCTCTGTCACGTGCGGACTTGGAATTCGTGTAAGACGTCCACAGTGCCAGAAGATTCGAAACGGAAAATTAGTGAATGTGTCTCGTTCCGGATGTGACATGACTTTGAAACCGGACACAGAAATGATGTGCAATATGACGTCATGTCCGGATCCAATGATTAAAAGCAAAAACGTCAAATTCTACCAATTAAGTAAACTATCGCGACTAAAATTGATTGTTGGAATGGAAGCTAAAATTCTTCCAGAAACAAATATTATTTTAAAATGTCCTCATGTTGGATTAGATGGGCAGAAAATAACTTGGTTTAAAAACGGTAGTGAATTTAGACGTTCTAAAAGAGCGCGAGTTTCAAAATCTGGTGCTTTAAGAATAAGACACGCTCTTCCAGGTCGAGACGACGCCGTCTATAATTGTATGGTAGGCGGACTCAGAGCAAACGTGTCCATTGCATTTGGATCAACTTTTGATATTTTACAAGCAACAGTTTATAGAGAAAAATTCTTAACAGGTAAAGCCAGTAAAGAATACTCACTACTTAACAAGACAGTAATGTTTACTGACCCCATAGATAGGTCAAGAAAACCACTGACCCTGATATCTACAGACTGGTCAAGATGCAGCGTCACGTGCGGAGGAGGACTTCAGTCTAGAAATCTTAGTTGTGAACTTATTACGCTAGATTATTATGAAATTTTACCAAAGGAGGAATGTTATAAAGGCTCAACACAAAAGCCACCCATGATTCAAAGTTGTAATACAAACCCGTGTGTGATATGGCGGACCGGGGAATGGTCGCAGGTATTGATTTCTCTGCTATATTTTTACGTTGTTGTCTTTTATCTTAATTTCAAAATAAAAGTCACACGAAAAAAAGTGTTCCGCATTTTTTAAAAATACTTGTCGGTAGCATTTCCTTATATAAACTTATAACATACAATATCCAAAAACAAGATATTTACATTTTTTATCATTTCAAACTATTTTTTCAGAACTGTGGTTAATATTATGTTAATTTACATTTTCCTTTGAAATATGACGATATATTTGTATGAGTATCAAGCTGGCGAAACTATATCGGACGCTCTGCTAGGCGAGTACAATATTTGTCAGTTGGATACGAATGTAGAATAAATGAAAAATTAATCATTAACTCACTAAAACACCTTTAGTTATAGCTATTTGAAATATTTTTAGATGATTTAATAGAATATTTGTATGTGACTATGTTTTCAGTGTAAAGATGAGAATTGTGTAAGAGAGTTATATTCTATAGAGAGACGAGATGTAGACTGTGTCAATGAATTTAACGACTCAGTTACTGACCCTTCATATTGCTCTACTCTCGGATTTCCACCAGACAATATACGAGACTGCTTCAACCGAAACTGTACATTTAAATGGGAAACATCAAGGTGGTCAAAGGTAAGTATCATCACCCGTTCATGTATATGAAATATACATTCATTAAAAGTGAATTTTAAATGATATTAATATGTATTTACGCATTTCTACTTAATGTTGCTTTTTGTTCCTACATATTGTAGAAGTATAAGTTATATTATCATTTATGTCAAGATGAGTAAAATCTCTGTGTACTGACTAAATGAGTGTATATTTAATACAATAATACTGCAAAAACATTTTTTCAGTTATATCATTACCTCCCTTGATAAAAGTGAATGCGCCTTTTTGTGTTACGAGCATATCATATTCGTTTACCGATTGCAAAACAGCAACTTGTCATATCTATATCTAACAGAACACAAAGGAAAATCGGCTGTGTATATTATTTTTTTAAATCCAATCATTTGGATGATACTTTAATTTCTTTAAATGCATGGCGTTTAACAGTTTCACATCATTAGCTTCTTAATTCCTTCAAGGGAATGCATATTGACCTGACTTTTGTTCTTTATTTATTTACTATGCGCGAAAGGGCGAATAAATGAAAAGATCGACTGACAATAACTATCACTTTATATATAATGTTATGAAGTTGTTATATTTTTCAGTGTGTGTCAAATTGTGATGAAAGGGGGTATAAAACGAGAACACTTACATGTATATGGGCGGGCAGTGGTGAGATTGCTCCACAGGGCAGCTGCAATGTGATACCACAACCTAAAACCAGCAGAAAATGTAAAGGAAAGCCGTGTGATAGCATGGGTGAGTTTAGTATAATACTTAGTACTACATGTTTATATATGTATATAACTATATAGATATATTTCTTCAGTTATCAAAATTAATTGCTTTTTTTGTTATTAAAACTGACTTTTCAACAAAGCAAATTAGTAAGTTGATAGACTACTCTCCTGCGCATCGACCGAATGAATGTTTCACTAGCGTTCACATGTTTGTAGTAACGGGTAGTGTATTCAATTAGCTGCTAAGGGAGCGTTATATGAGCCGTGTCATGACAAAACCAACATAATGCGTTTGCGACCAGCATGGATCCAGACCAGCCTGCGCATCCGCGCAGTCTGATCAGGATCCATGCTGTTCGCTATCAGTTTCTCTACTTGTAATAGAGTTGGTAAGCGAACAGCATGGGTGCTGATCAGACTGCGCAGATGCGCAGGCTGGTCTGGATCCATGCTGGTCGCAAACGCATTATGTTGGTTTTGTCGTGACGCGGCTCATATCATATGTTTGTTCTTTGACTTTCTCATGTACAGACTCAATCAAACCGAGTCTGCAATTTTCATATAATTTTGTTGTGATTAATGCTTCCAAGGGGTCACTTTTTTCCAAATCTTTATGCTTCACAACAGCAGGTGTGAAGCACGTACTTCACTTCAGTGTCGTTTATTTTTCTGGTTCTTCGGGATCATCGATGCCAGCACAATTAAGTATTGAGAATTGAGTACCGCTCAAGCCGGTGCTAGGGGTCGTGAGGGATGTTGCATTTATCCATTATCCCTCATGTACAGACTCAATCAAACCGAGTCCTCAATTTTCATTTAATTTTGTTGTGAGTAATGCTTCCGAGGGATCTCGTTGTTTCCAGATTTTTAGAGGAAGCCTTCTTACATCTTTCATGTAAAGAGATGTTTTTTATATATATATTTTCAGTTTGTGAGGACGAGAGTGACTATTGTAGCATTATATATCAGATGAACATGTGCCATTATTCTAACTTCGAAGAACGCTGTTGTGCCACGTGTCACCCCGATTATGATTATGACAACTACGAAGACGAGGCTACTCAACGCTGATCATATTTAAATTATGTGCCCTAGTGTAGAATATTAATTTAAACTCAGACATGCATTTTCCAACTGACACAAAAATAAGGAAAGTGTAGCTAAAGGCGCTTTGTTAGAGTGGTTGAAAACAGTCATCTGTTCAATGCATTGTGGCATACATATATTTATATTGATAAGGTGGAATACTTTATAACAGTTTCGGGATATATAGCCCTGAGGTAAAATTCCATATACAATGAACCCCAATCGCATATATTTTGTGAAAATTAGGAAATATGTTCAACCAACAGGGAGGAGGAACGTTCACGAAATGCATCCCTCCTTTTAAGCAAAACAAACAAAAGATAACGTGTGAGGGTGAAACCCAAGAGAAATTTCATAAATTACCACATTTCATTACATTCTGTAAATTAAAAGACACACAATTAATGGCACTGTAATTTGGAATTTTAAAAAAATGTAACAACATGTTTATTACACGAATTCAAGAATGTACAGTAGTGATTTGTTATACACATATTTCGAACTTTCCGAACCAGTAATCGACATGTCGTTGTCTCTGTGTATCCATGGAAACGTACTTGATAAAAACCAGCTGCATTTCGTAAAATTTGGCCAAATCTAATGCCCAGTTTTTAGAATAAAGACCTATTACTTTAAAGAATTTTTTGTCTATGTTTCGATTGAGTCATGTTTTTACCAAGCTGTAATTGTGTTAAATACATGTACTTAGAAATACTTAGAAATTGATTTGCATGGAATATTTTTGGAGTTATAAAATTTGAAATTTACCTAACATGTAAATTTTTTGTTACATTTGTTTTACGATGATAGATACGATATTTCTCTACGCTGTAGATTTATAAACTTTATGCGGTGTATATGTTTTTAATCACATTTTTGTTTTTAATTTTAGATACTCTAAAGGAACAAACACATAGATGCTTAGAGTTGATTTTGTTAATGTGTATGAGTTTTGTCGGGAAATTATGATCATTTTTGCTTTTATTTATTGATATTTATGTTAGCTATTTTAAATGTTTGGTCATCGACACGAATTTCGCTCACTTTATTTTAAATATCGTTTATATAAACTGTGTATTCATTATTCTTAGTTTGTGTGTCGATTACATTGGTGGTGAAACTTTGACTTTAGTTGGCCACAAGTCATCATATCATACTTTAATCATGTCTCTGGTGTTGTCTAGATGTGAAATAAAACAGTGATAATGATTTGAGCCGCGTCACGACAAAACCAACATAATGTGTGTTCGACCAGCATGGGTCCAGACCAGCCTGCGCATCCGCGCAGTCTGATCAGGATCCATGCTGTTCGCTATCAGTTTCTCTACTTGTTATAGAGTTTGTAAGCGAACAGCATGGATCCTGATCAGACTGCGCGGAAGCGCAGGCTGGCCTGGATCCATGCTGGTCGCAAACCCACTATGTTGGTTTTGTCGTGACGCGGCTCATTTTACTGACACCGTTTTATGACAACTATTTTTATTGATAAGCGTCAATTTAGTAAGCACTAGTTTTTAAAGTATTTTATAGAAAGTATACAATAGAATCATATGCGTAAATCGCCAACACCAGTTTAATTCCGGACGAGTTCCCACAATATTTTCATTGAATAACATAACATTATATAACATAAACATATAAATATTTAGACAAATATTCAGTGTAAGAATACACTTGAATGTATGAATATATGTTCATATACATGTTATGTTTGACATGTTGAAATACGATAGCCTTATATATACAAGTTGTGTTATTGCAGAAGGTGCTTATTAAATGTTGTTGTTGTTGTTGTTGTTGTATGTGTTTCTATGCAGTGACATGTATGATGTATATAGATAGTGTTTGTTTTTATTTACAAATCTGATAATAAATAATAATGTGTACAAGAGCTTTTGTTGTTGTTATTTTTCTTAAATATAGGTAATATTACATGAGTATAATGTAATTTATAACCTAGAAGAAGTAAGCATATATCACTATTAACGACCATTTATAAATATGCAAACCGGTAGCTTTCAGAACAGGAATATGCTTTATATTTTATAATTTTCCTTTGTGCTGACATCTACGGGACATCCTTTCGAATGTAGCTCGGTGTACAAAACATTTTATCATTTCATTTATCGGCATTTCAAATGTCTTTATCAATAGATAGATGTACGGAGTAACCTTCTTATTTAAACTGTCCATATAAAAGATTGTCATCTAGTATGTGATATTAGAACATAGGAAGTATTTTTTGTACAATCAATACTAAAAGCTTCTTTAACGCGGTATTTTGTATTTTCTAGATTTTTAAAGGTTATGATTGTATTACTGGCCAAATTTCACAAAGGAAAGAAAAATTTAAACAATTTGACAAACATTTCCTTCTTATTAATACACTCGTGAAGAAATGTCTCATGCAGACATTGTTACATCTTTCGTTAATATTATATCATTTATCTGTTCAATAGAATTGGAAAAGGTTTTCATAGTTACTCTGACTATAAAAACAATTCCTCTTTTTGTAAATTAAACGCGAATATTTATTCAAATCAATGATGATGTTTTAAATATAATAACGCACGAAGGAAAAAAATGGTTATATTCAACTCTAGTTATTATTCCGGTATTTTATTTCACACTTCCTTACCTGTAAATTCCAAAGTTATCAATGTCCACTAATATAAATTAAAATTGATCATCAGAACAAAACCGTATCAGTCGTATTGTATTACAATATAAGATATATAAAGTTATGAAGCATTGCCTATATAGGAATGGCATTTCTAGTACATGTTGTATAAAGAAGGTTTTAAAGAATATTAAACGAATGGCGATTAAAATAAGTGAATGTTATTTGAGCCGCGTCACAACAAAACAAACATAGTGCGTTTGCGACCAGCATGGTTCCAGACCAGCCTGCGCATCCGCGCAGTCTGATCAGGATCTATGCTGTTCGTTTACCAACTCTATAACAAGTAGAGAAACTGATAGCGAACAGCATGGATCCTGATCAGACTGCGCGGATGCGCAGGCTGGTCTGGATCCATGCTGGTCGCAAACCCGTTATGTTGGTTTTGTCATGGCGCTGCTCATTTATTATTTAATGAAAGTTAAATTTTAAAAATTTAAAACTTAAAAAAAAAGATATCGACATGTAAAATGAGTGACTTAAAATCATCGAAATATTTTCGTTGGTTTAAATTGTTGACTTTTTTCCCCGACATCATTGTTTGCTTTGTTAACAATAAAAGGTATAATCATAAAGACTGAAAATCTACTCTTTCTATACAATGTCCCAGAGCTTTGTAAGTGAAGAAAGTCTATTGTTGTTTTCACAATCTATATTTCAGTATCAACAATATACTATTTTCATATTAAACATAAATATGATTACTGCATTGTACGCATGAAAGACATATTTATTAACTGGGCTTATTTACTTTTCTCAAATCGATTTATAAAGATGGTTGTTCAATGCCCTAGTATTGCTTGAATGTTGATATCAAAAGAGGTTTTATTATGTAAAAGGACAATCTACTGAATAAGATAGTTGGTCATAAGATGAATAGATAAATCAACATTCATTTTAGAACATTTGTAAAACGGCATGCTTGATCTACCAGCAAAGAGAGACCTTTTAAAATGATGCTATGAAAGCATAAATATTGTCGTCACAAAATTCAAATGATGTCGTATAATTATTTTATTGATCAGTAGTGATTTAATGATTTAATAAGTATACATAAACGCTTTTAAAGTGCTTTGATAAGTTTTTCATCTTTAGACGTTTGAGGGATATTTAACTTCTTCAAACGAGTTTTTCAGTATGTTCGTAATATAACACTGTGACTTAACATTTTTCGACGTGGTGATTTTATGTAATTATAAAAATCACAAATAAAAACGATGCAGTACTCCGGATAAAAAATATCAGAAATAAAGTAAGAATTACAATTTTTTTTATTCCTTATTAATTTACACATGTATTTATATAACAGATAAGGTTCACCAAGGCAACAGTGTTAACAAAAGTTTTTTTTTTCTTTTTCGTTATTTTTATTTTATTTTGAATATATTTATTTTATCTGTTATTCAATATAAAGTAAGATATTTTTTGGTAAAATATTGTATGAAGAATCACAATATGTAGCTTCGAGTTTAAAGAACATACCTTTTAAAAATAAGGAAAATTGTTGAGTACGGCGGAAAAAGCCTCCAGACCTGCCGGTATTCAATCTTATGATATTAATTTCAATACATAAAGATATTAATGTTACAATGCAGTAGCGTAGCTGGTCAAACACCTGTATACCGTACTGGACGAAAACGCGTTTTAAAAATAAAAAATAAAAAACTCAATATATCAATACCCTAACCTAAGCGATCACCAAGAGTTTTGACCCATAATGTAAACATAGAAAATAGGATTTTCCTGACAAAAAATTATATTGTTATAAGGCGGTTAGATAAATTTTATATCGGTATTTTTTGCTGCAAGTGTGGACAGCTTGTAATACCTTAGGTAAGTGTCATGCATATTTCTTTTTTGGTATCTAATCGTAGATTCCTTTTATGTTCCGAATGTTGTTCACATTAGAAGTTATACAAGCGGAAAAATTCAAATGGCGTCCACATGTACCATGAGCCTCCATACAATGATATATTCAACATCACTAGCAGAAAATCTCTATATGTCAAAATCAGATCTGTCCGATGTCTATAAATATGGATTATGTCTTTGCTGACAAAGAAAACTAACCTTTGGCTAGTGCCTTTGGTCCTATTCATCTCATTCAGACTATATTCTCCCGTATATCCCATCCACAGCTTGTATAACAGATAACATTTTTAACAGGGTTGGTGTAACATTGTATAACATAACATACCATTTTGTTTTTCAATCACCACAGTAAGTGCATGGGACGCCAAAGCTGTCAGCTATCTGTTTCGACGTTTAAATATGTTGTATAAAGTTGAATATACTGTATAAAGTTGTTGTGCAGCTGTCTGAAAACCATCAGGACTTTCTAAACGTCGCAAAATAGGCTAAGACACAGAAAATAATGTTTCAAGGACTTGCAGCAATATACAGTTTAAATTCCACCAGCTTCACATTCATTTACTAAAAAATAATTGTGCATGTACGATATTATCAAATTTATCCGTTTAATGATATGACTTGCGAGTCATGACAAAACCAACATAGTGCGTTTGCGACTAGCATGGATCCAGACCAGTCTGCGCATTCGCCCAGTCTGATCAGGATCCATGTTGTTCGCTATCAGTTTCTCTACTTGCAAATGGTCTGTAAGAGAACAGCATGGATCCTGATCAGACTGCTAATTTAGTATTAAATGTTACTTTTCTTAATTGATGTATGTTTTGACAATAACATGTTACTTTCTATATCTGTTTTTATTTACTTACATTTTAGAACAAGAGATATGACATTACGTTATGGGAAGAATTTTATGATAAGGCTGTTAATATAGCAAATGATGTGGGGATTTGAACCAGTTTGCCCAGAAGTAACTGTCGCCAGTGAAATTCCCCCAGTCTTCCAGCAGATACAACCTCAGAGTTTTGGCGGTTATACAAGTATCTCCCGTTCAGAGATCACTTATCGATCGGTAACTGCAAGCGAGCCCAGAATCTTATTCCATCTAAAGTAATTGAACTTTTATATAGATTACTATGCCAAATCTAAATCTACGCCCATTTTATGTAAGTGTGAAATATGTTAATTGATTTAGAGTAACTATCAGTTGCAATAATCCCCTTGGTAATATGGTTATTTTGGATTTAAGAAGAGTGTCATTTATTTTGAGGATCAGTGTAAAGTGTTGATTAAATTATCAAATTTCGAGGATATGACTTACAATTACGATTTTTTTTCACAGATTCAGAAGGAAGCCATAGACACCGAGGATATTGTTCGTTTGTATGATGCTGTAGGGGATGTTAATGTGGTACAGACGGATCTACCTTCACCAGGGAAGTGAGGAAATGAGTAACATAGAGGACAGACAAGGCACTTTCGTTGGACCGTCCGCAAGCTCCTGAAATACTTCTGGCCAAATTACCACTGGCTTATGAGCAGTATTTTCTCAAAGTTAACTCTGAGTGTATAGTGGATAAATTTGCTTCAAGAAAACAACACCGCCTTGCATTGCTCTTCAGAGAATAATCGTTTGGAGTTAGACATCATTATATAATTTTTATAGAGAGTCTGAAGTGGAATTAAATGTGTTGTGAAATGACACCAGATTGTGTTATTTTGTATCTAAAACAGAAATCCCCCAAACCCGTAACATAGAACAGACAGGGAGAGTAACATCCCCTCCATTAACTCAATTCAATGCCTATGACGTCTTGCCTTTGATATACAGGCTTCATAGCATCAGATCCCCTTTCAAAATTACATTTTATTTAGTTTCGCCCATTGTTTTCTCGTTTAGGGCACACGCATTCTTTCACTTGGGGACCATACGCTGGTTTTCATGGAATGGCACTACTGTGTCATGTTGAGGGTTCCATGAAAACCGCCGTATGAACACATCTGCGGATGTTTATAAATTCGAAATTTCACCATTTTCGTGTCTGCTTAAGCCGGTGCTAGGGGGGCGTGGACGGTAACTTTCACTTTCCAGTTCCGTCCATGAACAGGCTCAATCAAACCGAGTCTGGCAATTTTTAATTTTGCCGTGTTGGGCGTTCTTTTGGGATTCTATTTGTTCTCTATTTTATAATTCGTTTTGGCCCCGCTACGATACTGCAATGTGAACATACTGTATATAATTTGTATGTAAAAATGAATTGTAAAGACGATTAGCTGTATGATATGCTTAAATCTTAAATAAACTGTTCTGTTCTGTACAAAACCCAGAATTCATGTAAAGTTGCAAATGGTGTCTTCTCAAACAGCGCTACCGCTATCATAAATTACGGAAATACTTTATTAAATTTTATGTTCGTAATTTCGATTTATGTTACCCGGATATTTGTCTTGTTTATTGTTACATGGAATTGTTTTGACATTATTGTCCCTTCTTGTTTTATTCTTGTCTACGATAAATATCATCCATTTCCCCTATTTTTTCCGATTTTGCCCCCTCCCTTTCCCAGTCCTTCTGACCCCTGCCCATAAACCCTTATCCTTTTGAAGGTATTTTAATTGATTTTTTTTCTCTTAAATTACCATGTTATTTTCTATTATTTCTTATTTTGAATAATTTATAATAACATCCCGTCCGAGCTTAGTTCTGGCTTCCATTACTTTATATGTCGCTTTTATTTTGACGCTGTGCGAACAGGTCTAGCAGTACTATAAAACCTGTTCGCTGACGTCTCTTTAGCTAATCCGAGCTTTGACTGTGTGCCCTGACCTGTTTAATGTCCTGATTGGCTCACTGCTGGTGGTCCTATGTTGGGGGCTGCATTTATTGAATGTCGCCCTTTCTCGTTGATCGTGTTTTTCATATTTTATTTATCTTGAAATCGTTTTCTAATATAAACGTTTTATAATTACGTGTTGTGTTCTTTGACAAATATGAGAGAATGGAGATAACCAATGACAATCACATGACCAACATAACTTCAATACTGAAACTGTATAATATAAGTTTTGTACTGTTAGAATGATTACATCATATAACCGTAATTTATGTACATTTACGTATTTTGAAACCTTATAACTACTTACATATTTCAGCAATAAAGATGAATATTTTCGGGACAGCTACGGTATGGGCAAAGATAGCTCTGGTGCTCATAATCATATCACTTGCACTTCATATTGCTGGATTTGCAACAACATTCTGGCAACAGTCAGAAACTATTCAAGAAAATACCGTGTACGATGTAGGATTGTGGAAAGCACAGGATTGTTCTGGAGGGCATGGATCACCTTGTGACAAGGTTGATATTCCAGATTCGTTTATCAACGGTAGGTAGTGAAATTTTGATAAGTTATTACTAGTATTTGATATAATAAAATTGATAAAGATTTAATCTATCAAAAGTACATTCATAGAACAGCTAAGTAATGATGAGAATAGACATGCACTAATTATATTCTGTTAGTAAAAAGTTAATAGCAATTTCTTATAATAGTTATTTCTGAATAATAGTTATTTCTCATATCTAAATTACAAAGTGGGAGTGTAAATTGAATTAAGATAAAAATCTAGAAAAGGTGAGATCCATTAAGAGCAATGAAAAGAAAGCAAGTATCTGACAATTGCAGTCTGAGTCTGTTCATGAAAGATATAATTAATGTGTAACATCTCTCATGACCACCTTCTGCACCGACTTAAGCGGTATTCAATCTTAATACTAAACACATTAGAATCGATGATCCCGAAGAACCAAAACATACGAGGGATGTTCGAAATGTATTGCTTATTTCTATCTGGAGACTTCAAATTTTAAGTTTGCTCAAAAGTGTTCATTTCATGCCCTCGAAGTACTCCCCGTGGCTAGAAATGCAAAGATTCAGCCGATGTATCCACTTCTTGAAGGCGTCACGGTACGCTGATTTGGGTACAGTAATAAGGTACTGATGAATGGCAGATCCAAGTGTCTGTCGGGACTTGTATTTCCGCCCAGCAAGGAAGGATGTTAATTTCGGAAACAAAAAGAAATCACATGGGGCAAGGCCTAGAGAACACGGGGGTTGAGGTAAAACAGTAACTTTTTCTTTTTTCAAAAACGCCGAAACTATCGCGGAGGTATGAGCGGGGGCATTGTTATGTAGAAGACGGATATGCTTAAAACCAGTGACAGGGCGTCGTTTCTTATAATACTGTTTCAGTTTCTTAAGTACTACGTCTTTGTAGTACTTTCCAGTGATACTTTTGCCCTTTTTCACCGGCACTTTTATTGCGACTCCTTCACCAGAGAAGAAAATTGCATACAAAACCTTCTTTGCACTCAGACCGTTTGGCAATTATTGGGCGTTTGTTGTGTTTAGTGGCCAGATTTTGTTGCTAACTTTTCTGACGGGCTCAATAGAATGGAATGTTCATATTTGACAAGACAATACCAGCATAGGCTAACACCTTAGTTGACATTACTTGTCTCGGGTGAACGTTTCGTTTGTCCACCCTTAAATGGATGTGATATTGATGTAATGTGAAAAATACTATTGACACTTTGATGAAAAATATAACTGTTTATAATTATCTCTCATGTACAGACTCAATCCACCCGTGTCTGCATTTTTCATGTAATTTTGTTGTGATTAATGCTTACAGGGGATCACATTTTATCCAGATCTTTATACTTCACAACACCATGTGTCAAGTGCTGTGTGGTAGCGGTAAAAAATTTCCCCATACTTCACTTAAGTATTGTTGTATTTTCTGGTCCTTCGAGATCATTGATGCCAGCACTTTTAATTGTTGAAAATTGAGTACCGCTCAAAGCAGTGCTAGGGGGCATGAAGGATGTTGCACCTTTTCATTATCCCTCATGTAAAGACTCAATCCAACCGGGTCTGCACTTTTCATATAATTTTGTTGAGATTAATGCTTCCGAGGGATCACATTTAATTAAGATTTTTCTAACTTTTCTTGTCTGCTCGGCACTAGATAAAAATTAGTAATACACAGATATTTGTCTTATAAGTATCTGGAAAAGACAACGTGAAAACTCAGACTAGGTTTGATTGAGTTTGTTCATGAGGGATAACGGAGAAGTGAAACATCCCTCACGCCCCCCAGCACCGTCTTAAGCGGTATTCAATCCCCAATACTTATTGTGCTGAAAATAATGATTCCGAAGTACCGGGAAAACTATAACAACTCTGAAGTTATGCACTTGGAAACTTTTCACAGCTAACGCACGGCACTGGACACCTGCTGTTATGAAGTATAGACGGAAAAGGGATGATCCCTCGGAAGCACTGAAAATAACAAAAGTACATTAAAATTGTAGACTATGTTTGATTGAGTCTGTTTTTGAGGAATTATGAGGAATAATCGATATGTTGATATATAAAATGTTAATATTTGTCAATGGTAACAATGTAATATTAGTTTTTGGAATCAATAAATAACACTTACTGTTTTTATAAAAATGTTAAGACATATTGCTACAACAATTCAAATGTTACATCAAAATGTTGATATTTGTCACAGATGTTGAAATGTTTATAGGTGAACTTTCTTACAGTTTATCGACCTTATATCTATATGAAAATGATTTACTGTAGGTTTTTTAAATGATATACTCTTTTCAATTTTGTATTTATGCATCACTAAATGGTATATATTTTGGCTACCCCGTGTATGAGTGACGTCTGTATGATATATGCTGAATGTTTGATAAGCAAACAGCTTCAACTGTCACGATATAAATTCATCGTATTTTTAAAAAGATTATAAACTCTTTGATTGAAATAAATAATGTCAACAAATATATCCTTTTTTACTTGACCAATCAACCATTCTATCTGATGATAAAATATTATATATCTACCGATAAAACCATGTCAAATGCTTTGGTACTTTTATTCTTTAGCGCCTATGTATACATTCACTTCAGTTCTCACTTTACATTGAATTGGCGTTCAATATGAATATCAGATTTAAGTACATTCTGTGAGTTAATTTCTATAAAACGAAATATAAAAAGGTGCGACCACTGTAGGTATTAAATACCGTATGTCATGGTTTATGGAAGTGTTTATGTACTTAAATTTTGGTTTCTTCTGAACTGTGTGCACCGTATTCGAAATGCTTTTCCTAAATAGTAAAGTAAATAATGAATATTTCATATATTACATTTATAATTTACCACGATACAATGTCTTACAATTATAAAATCGGCGAAACAAATTAATTATTTATTGTTTTCTTCGAAAGCCTTAAATGGGTGTGCTAGGTCAAACATGTTTATCGTTTATTTACCAAAAGTTTCCTTTTTTTCACAATTCGTTACCAACAGAAAACAAATGATATTAAACTGTTATTTTCGAGAGTATATGTTCAATCTGGAAACAGGTCTTCATTTTTAAGTAAAAACATCATATAATAGAAATAATAAGTCCCAACAATAACATACTGAATTTTAGTAAAGATTTCTTTTCTTCATCTTTTCAAACTTCTAAATTATCCTTTACGGACATTTTAGAAAAGACATGTATTACGGAAAAGGTTAGTGAAATTAAACTTATTTTGGTTCAATCTGGACTTTAAATACCCTTTTGTTAATAGCGCAGTAGGCAGAGCGTCCGTGTCGGTGTTGTATTCATGCATATACATGTTCAAATCATGGTTAGGTATTATTACATTTTCGAGTGTTAGATGTCTTTTTTCTTACTTGACCGGTTTCTTTTCAATTTTTTTACAATGCATGAGACAGAATACGTTTTTGTACAAGGGTTGATGTGCACTTTTGTACCTGAACTTTAATTTTCTGTTCTGTATATTTTATATATACAATCCTACGTCTTATTATTTAAGTTTTGCATATAAAAAGCTAAAAGCTTAAAAGTTTTTAATTACACAGAACTGACAGTGAGAATTCCATGTTCGGCAGATCATAATACACACCTTTATGAAACCTCGCATGACATTTCACAAATAATTAGACATCTTACATTGATAGGTATTTAAAAGATCTATTATATAAAACATGTGTCTTCAATGATTTTTAGCATTTTTTAAATGTTGTTATTGATATGTAGTTATACAGGTGGTTATGTAAATAATTAATATAATGCGTTTTTGTGTTTATTGATTTAGGTAATGTCACTAGTTTAACAGAAACTTATGCACGTCATAATAATAATTATAACAGCCCGTTGTATTCATACGCGATATCTTAATAATTCATTTTCAGCTGATTTATTCTTTTTATATGTCAAAATATGATTTTATTGTCTGGATATTTTTAATTGTGACGTGTATGATGAGGTGGTCCGCTATTTGAAAATCTTACTTAGATCAAACTGAAAAAAATATCGTAGGAAAGTAATGTGTTAAGAATGCAACTGCACTTCAATAGTTAGTGCGGTACGTAGTCTTATTTCAGTCACTTTATGTCATTTTACACAATAAAAATAAAAAATAAATATTTTATTAATTAAAGTATTCAGGGCGGTATGAACCTTCAGTTTGTTGTTAAACCCAAACAAACAATTATTCTGGAAAAAAAGGCTGAGCAAAGAATTTGAAATTTTGCACAAATGTTATTGCTATAGACCTACATCAAATGGTATTAAACTCTCGAGAACATATTTCCAGTCCTGTCATGTCAAAAACGCACAGCAGAGTCCATTAATATCCTACAATACAAAACACATACGTATATAGACCATGAATTACAACTACTACATCTATTACCTTTACATCTATGACAGGATAAATACATGAATAGCATGAATAAGGATATCAAATTTCATTATAAATACATGTAGTAGTTTTAATTTTAATTTTGTTTCCGGCAGTTTCAATACTTTGTGTTTCAAAAGTCATCTTTAACTGGTTTGGAACAATACTGTTAACTTGTAAGCATCATTTGTTTAAAAGCCATTTTATGTATGTATAGTATAATGTTTTTTTATGATGAACAATAAGCCAATGTATGTTTTTCAAAATGTATGTTTGCCATACAAAGAGAGCCAACCTTTTTCATTGTTTGCACCTATTTTAAAAGTTTTGCTCGCAAATGAAGCCACATCAAAAATAGTATGTTCAATTTCAATAAAAACTACACATGGTTAGAATGTATAAATTTATAATGTAGGCTTGTTTGGATGCAGATAATGCTTATTTTACAAAGCAGACTCGTTCAAGGCTGTACAGGGGTTAGAGTATGTTTATTTTACAATACAGAGAGTTCCATGCTGCACAGGGATTAGAATGTGTTTATTTTCCAATGCAAAACACATTCAAAGCTGTACAGGGGTTGGAATTTGTTCATTTTACAATGCAGACTGTACAGGGGCTAGAATATGTTTATTTTACAATGCAGACTCGTTCAAGGCTGTACATGGATTAGAATATGTTTATTTTACAATGCAGACTCGTTCAAGGCTATATACAGTGGTTAGAATATGTTTATTTTACAATGCAGACTGTACAGAGGCTAGAATGTGTTTATTTTACAATACAGACTCGTTCAAGGCTGTACAGGGGTTAGAATATGTTTTTTTTTACAATGCAGACTCGTTCAAGGCTATACAGTGGTTAGAATATGTTTATTTTACAAAGCAGACTCGTTCAAGGCTATACAGGGGTTAGAATATGTTTATTTTACAATGCAGGTTCGTTCAAGGCAGTTCAGGGGTTAGAATGTTTTATTCTGGTGTTGATGTTTATCATTGTGTTGATAGCAGCAGTTTATGTGGCTACAGAGAGATTTCGAGAGATGGCCATTGCTGTAGTTATTGCTGTCATGTGCTTTTTAACAGGTGAATTATTGCACTTTCCCCACGCCATATTTTCTTACATTTAAACTAAACAAAGAAAAACGACAAATAACATGCGTTAAATATTTTTAAGATGTTGGTTTAAAGTACGGTATTAGGATTAAAATCGTGATTCTGGAGCGCTTTTATTAAAGGACTTATTTGTATGTTCAATTAATATGTATGAATCAGGGATATGCATATAATCAAAAAGTCTGTCCTGAATGAATAAAGCAAGGATTTTCAAATAGACAGTTTTATTTAAGTAAATGGTTCTTCATTTGTATTAAGGAATTTTGTAATGATTACGTACGTACGATTACCAACTTGTATATTTGCATACTTATTTGTATATTTTTCATATCAAGATAAACTTTAAACAACCCATATACTATCTTAATATGTTCATTAGTTTAAAATATTGAGATGAGCTATTTTTGTTCATATTTTCAGTCACATTTGCTGTGATATCTATGATCATTTGGGTGGCTCAAGTTCCTACAAACTACTACCTGGGTTACTCGTTCGGACTGTGTATTGTCGCATTTGTTCTGCTGTTTTTGGCGGGAATTCTGATGGTACCGGATATAAGAAATTACCAGCAGCGTCGTGGACGTGAAGCCTTGAAAGTGAGACCAGAACACAGGCCGACGATGATTGATAGACCATCGAAATACGACGATATGGGACGTCATGATTATTCTTACAACAGAAAATTCACACCCGAAACTCCTCAGACAAATGTGAGGCACTATTACAACCCAAACAGAGACTCTTATATACGGAGCCCTCCACCAGCATATAAGACAATGCAAAGCCCGGATCAAAGATCAACTTACACCAAATATACGCGCACAGACATACAGACACCTGATGTTTACCTAGGCAGAGATGGCAGAAAACCTAGGCGATACTGAGAAGTATCTTCAAAAAATGAAAACAGACAAATTGTTACTCTATTTATTGTTTATTTTATTAATTTATTCTGTTGGACCTGTGAAAGATATATTAAATGTTCAGGGTTTCAAACAATGAAAACTGGCAAATTGTTACTCTATTTATTGTTTATTCTATTAATTTGTGGAAGATATATTTATTGTTCAGGGTTTCAAACAATGAAAACTGGCAAATTGTTACTCTATTTATTGTTTATTTATTCATTTATTCTATCGGAACTGAGGAAGATATATTTAATGTTCAGGGTTTTAAACAAGAAAATACCGTTTTATTTTCATTTCGGCACTGTGATGACATTAAGATTTAACTGAATAGAGCATTTTTGTAATTGATATGAATTTCTCGAGTCAGCTTTGAATTCCTCTGTTTGAAATTAAATTATTTAAATTGAGTTATTTTCATAATTTAGCTTATTTATTTTCTTTCACTTCATTAAAATGATTTAAATACATGCGGATAGGTACTGTATGACCAACAATAACATCTAGATCGTAAGGTGTTTTTCTTTTTATTTTATCCCTTGTTGGTAAAAGAATGAGCAAAATACAGCAAAGCTATTCATTTTTGTGATTGTCATAAGTACAAAAGGTGTAACTTTTACTTTATTTCATTTGAAGTTGAATATAAAAAAGAATCGTGTAAATTTGTACTGTTACTGTTTTTTAAGTATTCTTTAAGCATAAATATTTCATTATGCAATATTATGATGGTTTTATATTGTTTCTGTACATGTGTACAAAGACATCTGTACAAAGACATCTGTGCAAAGACATCTGTACAAAGACATCTGTACAAAGACATCTGTGCTTGTCGGATTTTGTATATTCAGATTGAAGTGTTAGGAATAACTACAAGATTGTCACTATTGTTATGAATGTTATATGACCAATTTATACACATTGTATGTACTGTAAATAAACCTTTATACCTTGCTTCTTTTTAAAGTTTAACATGTTTTATTTATCCATTTGATGTACTATTTACATTTGATAGTGTGAGAACGAAATAGTCTGTGAAAGATCAATATCTGTAATTTAGGTTAAATTTGACTGAGAGCCAAATTAAATAAATAAATAAAGGAAAAAAGAAAGAAAGAAAGATAAAAACAAACAAACAAATAATGAATGAATTAATGATTGACTCAATCAATCAATCAATCAATCAATCAATTAATCAACCAATCAATCAAAGGAAATGATAGATAAATGAATGAATGAACGCAGTCTCAACGCTGTGGCCCCCGTAAGTGCAGTATGCCTAACTGCCCATACAATAGCAGAATTCATCTTCTTTTTCTAGATTTAAATTATAGTTATTACCTTAAGATACCGATAAGAATATCCAATGTACTTATAAAGACAATTTTATTTAGTCATATAATGGCAACATGAGAATTACATACATAATTATTAAACATAAGGCAACATGTTTGTGTATGAAATGAATCAACTGTATTCTCTAAGAACTTTAACAATAAGGGAAATGTATTTGTCAAAAATATAGATATATTATTAGATTAATATTTGTCTTAATTTAATCAATTATAGAAATGATGTTTAACAAAAACTCAACAACTCATATTAGTATATTTTATAAACAGTCTTATAAACGCAACAATAAAACAAATCTTAACATCAGATCAAAATTATAAATTCTACGCGCACGGTACCATAATCATAAGGTTACAAAAAGGTAAAATTCATCTGTTCGCTTCACGAAGCACTTACTGTCTTTTTGTATAAATTTGGCGTGCCGCTTCAGGTACTTACCCGCTTGCAAAAATACGTAGCATGCATTCTACGGCCAACGGCATAATGTTATTGTATTAGTAGTAACTGACGTCATATGGAGGCGGAAATGACATAGTCACGCAAACGCTTCTCAAACAATTGTCGTTTGTTCCTTATGCGAGTCTTTCAAAGTCTTTTACAACTATTGTATTGTTGTGCTCATATTTAACAAATGGCACACATCCTTCAGATCAGCGTCCAAAGTCACTGGAATGTAATGAATTGCGAACACATACTCGTATATTTACAGCAGACGTTTCATCTCGCCATCTCTTTATTAATGTAAATCTATATCCCAGTCAGCATCGTAATGGTTGTCATACGGTCTGAAAAGAAATAAAGAGCTGGTCATGAAATTTATATTCTTTTAAAAAATCATAAAGAATGTAAATTCTTTAGTGATACTCATCACCTATTTTCCGACATTTCAAAAAATATTTATGCCATTTTACGTTAAAATTGCTAAATGAACAAATAAGCCCAGGGGTGATGTGAATCTGAATCTTGAAATTTGCTATTACGAACTTTCGTGATTTTGCCAGATAAAGTCACATAAAAATGAATTTAATAAACTTTGATATAGAGAATTTTTAAGTTTACTTATTGAACGATTTAAAGGTAGAAACTGGCCTAGATTAAAAAAAATAAAATCCTGTTCACTGTGTAAAGTATGAAATAATTAATTGCTGGTACAAATTCTCAGATCAAACTGCCATTATAATTTGATCTTAAGTTATTTGATAATTATTGAATACATATTGGTGGTCTATAAAAACTAATAAAACCGCCTTGTTTCCTTTGAATAAACTTTGTATGTCATTTCTATCAATAGCCCTTTTTATTAACTTAAGTGACATTATTACTTAAGTGGTATTTAGAAACTGACTTTAGACCCCAATTATATAAAAAGAGGGTAAAGAAATGACGAAATGACAACTATGAATAAGAAATAAAAAGATAAAAATATTCAATTAGTTTTCAAAATATTATTCATTTAATAATTTGTTGTTAATATCATTCTATAGCATAGTCAGTTTATTTTCTTATTTGGTGAAAAAAAATTCAATAAGGAAAGTTGAGCATACAGGATTGTGATAAATAAAAGGCATTGTTCGTTTAGTTTAATACGGTGATTATTTAGTGGTGCCTACGAGCAATTCTTCAACACAAAAATATGATAAATTATTTCTATTCAGAATGCGTTTATGTAAACTAGTTAAATCGATGTTTATGTTAAAATTACAATCACAAGTTGCAGTTGTAAATGTTTTATTAACATAATGACTAAAAATTGAAAGATAAACCAAATAAGAAAAGTAAGAATATTTTTAATATTGACATCACATTTAACAGTAATAAATATTTTAACAAACTATGTCATCTGGTCCAAAGTATTTCAAATAGGCAGTGTTTAAGTAATACAGAAATTTGAACCATCAACACTATTCATCCATTATTTATTTTATGCTATTTACATTATAATACAAATAAACTCGCCCAGATCAATTAGGCATTTATGTTTTATCATATTTCTATAAGATTTTACCGTCTTTCTTTAGATCTTTAAACATAGTGAAAATGATGAACACGAAAATTAACAAAAGAGACGGAGTTGAATGAGACATTACAAAACTCATCCGAAACTATTGTTTTCATCTTTTCTCTTGCTTGATGTAAGTGTTTAGCGGATACGTGCTCCAGATGGCACACTGTCTGACAACTTATAAAAGTACTCATAAAGAGCTTAAAATGGGCACAATGTAGAGACGTTGTTGTAGAATGCCTTCCTTTTCAAGCGTAAAGTTTTGGTGATTATGTCTTTTATTCATTATCTGGTTGTTTCAAGTAATAAAAATTTAACCTTTTGAAAATTATTTCTCGAATGCTCAATGTGAAAATCCTTTACTTCCAGAATAAGGTTCAAATGATTATAAAGCAGTATCTACGAGTACAGTAACACCGCAAGAAACTTTTCTTGTCGTCATATACCATAAAGTAGTTACAGTGGAGATAATATCATAATGCTGATTGTATTCTTTGTTGCCTAAAAGCTAGAATATCAAAGATTGTAAATTGAATGACATTTAGATGGAGATCAAAAACGTCATGCACCAATCTTTCTCTTTGTATATTCAGAATTATCTACATAGTTAGCAAGAAATACATTTTAATATTTCTCAGACAAGAATAATTGTTATCATATGCTTGATAGAATTGTTGCTATAAGACATGAACGCTTGCAGCACAATGTTCATGTCTCTGATAAAGATTTATCTCTAATATTATGGTGTAGATCAAAAGAATTTCATCAGTTAAATTAGATGTAAAGAGATCTATTTCAACCTTGCAAGCAGATAAATCGATTCTACAGCACATTTTCTTGTATGTGACAAATGGCTGTAGAATCACAAGCGCAAAGGCATGATAGTATATAAAAAACTAAACAGGTGATTTGTCTTTGTTGTTAGAGGTAGAACATCAATATCAATATAGCTGATATTTGATGTAGACACTTATCTCTGTATGTCAACAAAATAAACACAGTTCATCACTTAGAATAAAATTGTTTTCAAATACGAGGAAAATGTTTCTGTAAAGATAATTAAGAAATATAATGTCTCGTTAGTGATTGTATGAATATTGTTTTCTTTATTGCGTTGTCAGTCTTTCGAATACTTTCATTGTACATAAATGTTTCTGGACAAATATTGCATTTTTATGTATGTTAGTAAAAGTTTCTGATCAAAATATACATCAGAGTAACGTCCCTTATCATCAAAGCAGTCAGTTTGGTCAATAAATGTTAAAAGAAAATGTTAATAAATATCTACTGGCTTAACTTTATCTGTCTGACTGGCTATCAGTATATTTTTATTTCAAACGTTTCATTCACTTTCTTTGTTTACTTTTCCAAGATGCTGAATTTATTTTATGGTCTCAATTTTTAGCCGACTTAACCCACTTTTAATTATTTTATATAAAATACAGGTATAATTTTAAAGACATACTAAAAGTAGGAAGTAAAGTACAGTCCTACAAACATTTAATGTATTCTAGGCTTAATGAGAGTTCATCCGCCCTTTCAGGCACGGAGAGTACGGAAACACACTAATTTTATGCAAGTGTGTGTACTATTTTACTTGTTAACTAAGTAAACTAAGCGATTAAGTATTTTATTGAAATAAAGATCATTGTTGACAAAGTATGCTCATCCTCTTTCCGTCAGTTATAAATTTCAAAAGAAAATCGCAACAACAAAAAAACCCCTTCAAACATGTATGTTTCGGTAAAGTTGAATTTATCTAGAAAAGTACAATGATAACTTTTTTTAAGAATGTATTACCTACATTCTTAAACGACCATTATAATTGCAACTTTGTTATGTTTTCCTACATTTCCTTTTATCCCACTGTTAAAATGTCCAATGAATTAGAAAGGATAAGAAAAAGGTATTCATGTCTAGCAATATAGTCGGAATGTCGAGTTAAGTACGGATTTATTTTATCCTAGTTTTTCTCCCAGGATTCTGCTAGTGCAAATGATACTTTATTGATTAATCTTTCAATTTCAATATTTATTGCTTTGAAGATAAGACACGGTTTAAACCGAATGTCCTAACATTTAATGAGTAATCATAACCATGAGGTAGAGTACATAATGTTGCATTAATGCACCTAGTTACAGAAACAAGCTATATGGGATTGCTAACCTTACATATATGGTGTCGGTCTCTCGATAAGTGCCATTGATTTTGTATACAATAAAATTTATTTGATAGAAAATGTTTACAAAGCGAATGTGCTTTAAAGAAAAGGCTCAAGCATTTATCACAATCAGGTTTTAACTAATGACTAAATGAAAGTATTGCGTGCTGGATTTTATGACAGCTTTCAGACAACGTTAATTATACCTGCATTCCAAATGACCTACTGAGAACAAACGTAGGAGATAAGATCTTTCTTGGTTAGGTTGTTGTGTTGTTGGAACTAAAATATATTCTCCTGGGTCCAAGAAAAATCGACCTGAAACAATAAAAAAATTAATGGTACTTAAACTTGACTTAATTTAAACAAGCATTGTCGCATGGTCTGCTGAAACTCAAATGTAAAAATCTTATAGAAGTATGCGCCAGTTTTCTGCTATAACGTCCAATCTTTAAAAGCGAGGACCAGACAAGACCTTGTAGAAGATTAGCCTTCCTGAGAACATTCAGACGATAAAACCCCAAATGAACGCACAATGCGGATTAGATTTTATCCCCAGTTAGCGGGGGCCAGTAAAAACCTTGTAGAAGATAAGCCTTCCTTAGAACATTCAGACGATAAAACCCCAAATGAACACACAATGCGGATTAGATTTTATCCCCGGTTAGAGAGGACCAGTAAAGACCTTGTAGAAAATTGGCCTTCCTGAGAACATTCAGACGACAAAACCCCAAATGATCACACAACGTGGATAAGATTTTATCCCCGGTTTTCTGTGCAAGGACAAAATCAGTTTACTGACATGACGAAAGGCAGTAATGGAGAGCTTGAAGGTAAAAACACTACTCATTCCCCCATTGTTTCTTCCGCACCTTTACAGCGGAGGAAATATATCACCGAGATAGCCGAATGGTAAAGGCCGTTGACTTCAAACCACTAGCCCTTCGCCGTTGTTGATTCAAATCCTGCCAGAGAGTTTCGGTTCCAGCTTGCTTTTAAAGTCGCCATATGATCTTTATAGAGTTGTGCGTAACTGCGTATGTAAGTTTTTCATTAAAGCACTTAGCAACTTTAATGATCGGATGTTCATCCAAGTTGATGTTCATACCACGTGATCTGGATTTTCACGTAACGGAATTAGAATTTGAACTTGTAATAAATCTGCGGTCAATATTATATTTCTGCGTCAATATTTACAGAATATATCGCATACTAAGCCGGAAACGGCGACTACTAATGAAATGTAGTGACACTCTTCCAAAAAGTAATTAAAGACTTCATATCTTATAAAAGAATAATTAGAAACGGGTAACTATTTCTTTTGCTCTTAGCATGCGCTATATCATAATATGATAATTGATGAAGAAATAAAGCATGTACAGTAATTTTCTACTTTGAATCGAAACAGGACAATCTGATTGCGGTACCTAATTATGTTGTCAAATGATTATTAAATAGTGATGTGGCCACACTAAAGGCCTCAATAGACGGTAGGATTTTGAAGTACAACACCAATTAAAACTTAGATGTGAAAGCAAATCTTAACGTGTGAAGGCTACTATTCTTTGAATTCGTACAACTTAATACTAGATTTACAGGATAAGACATGTTTAATTCTAGTTGTACAGACCTCCTTTGATGACAGGTATCATATTTCCCAATTATCCCCTGATAATGTGTTTAACGAATGAAATTCTAGAGCAATTACGGCTAAAATGTAAACATAGTAGTAAGATTGAGTAAAAAGGACTCTTTGGGAGCCCAAAAGTTGTGGCAAGTTCGAATCCCAAATTACTCAGAAAATAATTATAGACTAATTTTTTTTTAAGATGAAGCAGTTTCCATCATTACTCATGCAGAAAAAATATTTTTCACCTTGAGATCAAAATACAGAACAGGTTTTAGGGTGCTCAGTTATGTTATTCATTCCAGAACATTGCATTTCCTATATAAATGCTCTCGCCATGCTATCCGCGGTCTACCTCTTAACCAATCTTCATAATTGGTCAGTACCAGCACTTATATAATATTTACACATATTTCAGTAATAATAGTGAATAAATTCTGGAAGGGATCTATTCGGATGGAATTGTTTTGGAGGGAAACCTGGAGATTCATACAATATAGATTTACGGTCTGAATGCAGGTGTTTTATTGCATCATGGCTCTAATAAGTTTTGTACAGTTAAATCCTACCGTCTGTTGAGGCCTTAACGGACGGACCACTGCACCTGCTGTCGTAAGCTAATTGTATCACTATATATAACAATAAATAAACTTGTAAGTAATCAACCAACCTGAAGTTTCTCTATACTCTGCATACGTTTCTTCATTTTCTGGCATAAGTGGATCTGTCTGGTCGAAAAATGATTTACCAATTTTTCCTGTTATACACGAATATCTCTGAATAAAAAACAACAAGTTATCAATATTTTCCATTATCTTATAATTGACTGAGTTGCATTTAAATCTAGTGAACAAGAAAAGTTAATTTCCATGAGTTGGCTGAAAGGAAATCTAACGACACGAAAATCTTGAAATAAATCATTATAGAAAAGTAACAAGATTTTTTTTCAGAATGATTTATGACATTGCGTTTTTCTCGCGGATGTTTGTTCGCATGTAAACAGAAAAACAGATCTATAAAATGGAGAAAATAGACCCCCCAGAGGTCCAAAACGGCAAAATTAAAAATGTTGCAGGCTCGGTTTGATTAAGCCTGTTCAAGGACGATACTGTCAAGTGCAAACTACCGTTTTCGCCCCATAGACTTTATAAAAAACTTTCCTTTTCCAAAAGCAATGCAATGTCTTGAACTTTTGGAAATATGAGTACAATCAATAATATATATAAAGTAAATAAACTTAAATGAAAATGAGAAAACAGTTTTCTCGACAGTTTATAGGTTTTAATTTCCATCTTTCAATCTTATTTATGTAGTACAAAGAAAATCTTTTGTATATTTAATTTTCTAAACATGGTAGATCTATGATATTGCAAAATGACTGTGTCAATGCATATTTAAAAAAAAAACTTTACAATGTAGTTTATAAAGCATGGTATACTTTAAGGCCCATTGTGGTTTTATTTCTATTTCTCAAAACCTCTTTTTTAATTTTGGTGTCATACTACATGTATAGTTTCCAAAATAGTTAGTCATTGGCCAATTATTGCTTCTATTGCTTTTCGACAGTTAGTACAGTTAAAGTCAAAATACTACTACGTTTAAATGTTGATACTTTTATGGCAATAATTGTACATTGCGCAGTAATTTCTTCATGTGGTAAGCACCCGAGTGAGACAAAAGAAGGACAGAAGGCGCTGAATTTGTTTAGGTCTCGGAAAGTGATGGTTGTAAGATTATAAACCAATTTGTTTTTGCATAGTGCCATCAATACTGTTTCCAGTGTTATAACTGTAGTAATTTGACTATAAGACTAATTGATTTATTTGACTTAAACATTTTTTTAAAAAAAAGTTGCCTTAAGTGGGGTTTGAACTCCAGATCTTTCTCTTCCAAAGCGAGCGTGTAAACCCATCAACCACGGGGTAGATAACAGTGTGAAGAAAACCACCTTATTCTAAATCAGGGTTTGTAACCCTTATTTATTTCGATATATTTTGTTCAATTAAACTGTTGTTTAACACTGATGTATATAATCATGGAGCTTAATATAAGCATGTATATCTATAAAGAATAACACAATATTAGAAATCTTTGACCAATCGGGAACTATTTTTTCTTCCCCGAGAAAGCTTGAAAATTAATGCGCCTGTCATTTGACAATCTTAACGCAGTGATCTCCCTTTAATTTTTTCGGCGTTAGTGTACATATAAAGGGAAGTAACCGCTTCGAGGAGTTTGGACTACTTTTGGTTTTTGCAAAAATGCACATCAGGGTCTGAAATTTCGCTAGCATTGTTTGTTTGGTCTGACGGCCCAAACAAATATAAAGGGATTGGAGCACCACACTAAATACCGTATTCCGGTATATACCGGACAAGGCGCTTGAATGATATAATGCTAAAATCTTGTCTTTTTACCCAACAGAATGAACTATTACAGGTCTAATTAATATTTTAACACCGATTTATATATGACAATGAATGAAAAATGTAAAAATCGGCGAAAAAAAAAGATATTTGTCTATTTTGTGATCATGATTTCTGCAAGCGTCTAGAAGTACTGCTCCAATCCTGTATTGAGTTAAATCCTAAGCACCCTACATACGCTAAAACCATTATGTAAATGTTATAAAACTCGTGTTTCCTATTTCTAAAGAAGGAGAAAAATATGCTTGTAAGTCTTAACAATATTGTAAGAAAGCTGATGATAAAAGTACGCCAGAGTCAAAAGTTTTATAGATTACTTTCATTTTAATATAAGCAGCAACAACTACTTTCGAAAAGAACAATAAGATAATTATACACTGTTAAAAAATCAATCAAGATTTTTATTAAGCATCTTGATATGAACATTTGTATGTCCATAACAACATCTTTAATTTACATGTACGTAGTAGATATAAGCCGAAAACTGTCCAATATGTAAAATATTGAATTTTATGAGGCGCGTAGCGCCGAATGGAATTCAATATTTTACTTATTGGTCAGTTTGAGGCTTATATCTTACTTAAATTACTACTTTTACTATCAAATATCATGTTATCTATCGAAAAATTAGAAATAATGTATTTTTGTGCTAGAAATGTACAATATTAATGTTTTAGCAATTATCTTTTCTTACTTGAAAACCCCTATAGGTAGCCTCTTGAATAATAAAATGTCCGTAGCATGAAATTTTCGTGTTTTGAAATATGACCAATTATGTACATGAACACAATGATATACACAAAATATACCAGTTACACAAAATGTTGGACTTACACACATACAGTATACATCAATTTACATTTGGGATTTTTACAAGAAATAATTAAAATGAAATGTTTTCTAATTTGTGTTGAATCTCGGATATTTTAAATGATTGACTGAAACAATCTATGACTTTTAAGAAGGATTTATATTGACCATTTAGTGTTAAAATTGACTTTTAAGAAGGATTTATATTGACCATTTAGTGTTAAAATGAAATTTTTACTTTACTACAACAATCACGGATGTAAAATGTTGTGTAAGAAATGCCATTAGTATAAATTTTGGAAATTAACGCAACAAAATGATATTTTCTAATTTTTATATTGATATTTGTCATACCACAGGAGTCTGGAATCGTTTCTTTATCTAACGTACATACAATAAAGCAAATCAAGTATAATTGTCAAGTAAACGTATATCTAAAAAAAGAAGAAAACGGACAATAGACAAGAAATTGAACAATCCCATAAAAATCATACTCTTACTGACGCTCCGCTATCTTTCACTTAGAAAGCGTAAACAGTGATATGATGTTAAGAGCTTGAAAATCGAAAATCGAAAAAAAAAGGCTTGGAATAATAATTCGTTAAATGAGCCAGATATCAATTATTGTTCTTTTCATAAAATTATGTAAAATGCGAAATGGGCGAAGGAAAGACATTGCATCATTCCTCGTGATAAGAAGTTACATTTTACTTAATCGTTTTTTGTTTGGTTGGGTTTTTTTTTGTTTTTTTTGTTTTGTTTTTTTAATTTGGAGAATTTTCCACAAAATCCTGTGGTCATACAAGCTTCTTTTAAGACACGGCACGCTGTCTAATATTAATGTGTTACACGATTAATATTGGACTTACACATTTATAGTGGACACCTATCTGTACTGTATTAAAAATACAAAAGGAACAAAGGAATGACGTCATAGTAGTTATTTAAAAACTGTTACCTGGAAAACCTCAAAACCTATTGCATAGAGCCCTATACCGTCTAGTTTATGTTGACGACGATATACTTGCAGCAGTGAGACCACTAATGGAAGACGACCACTGAAACGACGCTGTATCGACGCTGTAATATACAATTATATATAATGTACCGTAGCAGAAATATATGTAAGATACATGTATAAAATACATAATTTACCGTAGCCGAAAATATATATAATACATAATGTAAATATATATTTATGACAATAAAAGATCACAAATTAGCAATAAAAGAAGTGAAACACGGTACAATGAAATTTCATTCTGGTCTGATTTGTGAATTTACTGAAGTCTGTATTTTAGTCAAGTGTATAAAAGAATTAAGTATAAAATTGATTTAGAAGGTAAATTTATGTGTTCATTTTATTTTGTTATATAATTGTTCTTCAAGTTGTTTTAAATAATTCTGTCACTTCAAGGTGAGCAGTTACTAGTATAATATATTAACAGCAGTTCAAAAATTATTAGAAATATGCACGTTTTTCACGTAATAAAGCATCGGTATTTAAGAATAAGAAAGAAGACAATGAAGGTTACCATCAGCATGAAGGGTGATGATATATTGGGGGTTGATTACAAACGAAGGACACTCTAACCAACCCCCGGCGTTAAATCCAGCCTTCCATCGACCACGCATACTTAACTGATACTCTGAAAAAAAAACCCACCAAAGGACTAGATTCGCTTATGCATGAAATATGCCTAAATATTTTGTATTTTATAAAACTTCAAATTTTCAAGAAATGAAACAATTTTCTGGAAGAACACCTTTAGCTTGTTGATATAAATGAAAAACAGTAAAGATAATACGTCTGTTCCGTGCAATAAAATACGCTTGAAGTAAGGGCTAAAACCCGTTTTCCGGTATTTTGTATCAGTTTTCGACGATAAATTGAAAAATTTGAATAGGGCACAGGTCTCGACCAAAAAACAAAATACGTCATTGTCATTGTGAGTATTTATAATTTACAAAAACGTATCAATAATTTTGGTCGAGGCCTGTGCCCTTTACGAAAATTATATTTTCCTTCCCTTGGTGTCTGTGCAAAAGCAAATCGAATGCATAGAAGATCAAAGATTTAAGCTGTATTTTTATAAATTTTTACTTGTTTTTGCGGTCAAGCATTGAGATCGAAAGCAATTATCATTAGTCAAATAAAATATGTCTTCTTTTCTGTCATGTTTTGTTAACTTATTGAATGGAAAGTGAAAATCCAGGCGATGATGACAACGACGACGACAACAACAACAAAGCCATTGTTTACACTTTACCTAGTAAATCTATACTACTGTAACGCTGACAGGGTTTAAAACAGTCAAACGTTTGTTTGTTTATTATGTGAGCATTTATTCCTTGGATCTAGGAATGTATTCCAGTCCAGATATGACTTTGTGATAACCGTGACAGGGAGTTTCCAAGTAAGTATATT